TGTCAGTCTGTCCATCTTATTGACAGCTAGTATGTGCATCTGTCACAATAAATTTAACCTTGGTCATAACTTTTGAATAATAAGAGATAGTGCTTTCATATTTCACATGTACATTACCACAAAACTTTCTAAATATACTATGATTTTTTAACCCAAGTAAGACCTTGACCTTTAAGTTTTACCTACTTTCCAAAACATAACATTTTAAATTGATCATTTTGAAAGAGAAAAGAAAGGGCATTCAAATTATACATGTTTATTACACATGTGAAAAGACTTTTCTAAATATATCATGACTTTTGACTCTGTGACCTTGACCTAGAAGTTTAACCTACTTTTCAAAAATAGTATATTGTATATAACCTACTTTTCAAAAATAGTATATTGTATATATAACTTTTGAATCAAAAGAGATAGGACTTTCATATTTGACATGTACATTACCTGCAACAAAATGTTTGAGAGCATGCTATAATTTTCCCCTTTGACCCAATTTTCAAAAATTGATATATGATAGGGGTGCACATTTGACACACAATCTGCCATAAATTATGGCATCCCATTCACTAAAACACAGAAAGCAGAGGACCACAATTCTTTGAATTTGCTTGTATAATCTTGATAGATGGAAACATCCTCATATAATGTAGATTCAAGTTTTTTATGCCACACCAGTTACTGAGTATATTGAAATCAGACCAAAACTGTAGGAGGAGTAGCATTTGGAAACAATTTCTCAGAAATATCTATTTTTTGTAACCACGGCAACATCGTTTATTGAAATCAAACACCGATGCAGAGAATTATGTATCTTAGTGTAGTCTATCTGTGTGCCAAGTTATATTGAAATCAGACCAAAACTGTAGGAGGAGGAGCATTTTGAAAGAATTTCACTGAAATTTCTATTTTTAGTAACTACGGCAACACCGTTCATCGAAATCAAAAACCGATGCACACAATTATGTATCTTAGTGTAGTCTACTTGTGTGCCAAGTTAAATTGAAATCGTACCAAAACTATAGGAGGAGTAGCATTTTGAAAAATTGTTTACAGACAGACAGACAGACGGACGGACGGCGGACGCATTACTATCGCATAAGCTCTTCTGGTCTCTGACCAGTAGAGCTAAAAATCATGCCACCCATTACAGCCATAAAGTCCCAAACCACCGCCAAGTTCATCAGGGCAAACAAGCAGACCAAGGGAGCCAGGCCGCAGCAGGGCAGAGGGGGGAGAAGAAACCTAACCACTGTTCACCCCGCTGACACCGGAGCAGACCTTGAGATCGAGCGGATTGTGACTTGTACAAGTACCCAGGCCTGGGAGAAAGACGTTCAAGTCTCCAAGGGAATGGCGGAGGAGCATGTGCCGCTCACTTTTTGATTAAAGCAGTGGTAATATTTTTCGGAAACATATTTCCTTTTTGTAGTCAACTATCTATAACTATATTCCTTTGTAATAAATTAAAAACTATACAAACCTTTTCATTTCATAACAATTAATCTAGAAAGCATTAAAGAACCTGGGTAAATAATTCAACCAGTGTGGTAGATATCTGTAATAGGTAAAAATAAGACTTTCTAATCCGTAGTAGCATTATCAATAATTACTTTGGGAAAAGTTTGTCTTATTCCAGTCCCTTAATCACACTTGTTCCCGTTACTATCCAATACACTCATCCTACTCCCTTTCGACGTCAACAGGAGGTGGAAATGTTAGTGAATGGTAAGAAAAAAAATCACATAATTCCTGCTGATAAGATGAAGGATCCAACAACAACGTCAAAACACGATTAATAAATGGATTGTTCCAGTATGTTGTTTAAAGTCCTTGCCGAGAATGTTTCGCTCATATATAGACGCAACGGCTACTTTAGTTTCCATACTTTGCACTCGCAGCCATTGCGCAAGGAGAGATCTTTTTATTGCAATAAACTACTGCGACACGGGACCTGGGTTTATGCAGTATCACCCGAAGGAGTAGTCTCCACGTCCCACGATGGGATTCGAACCCCCAACGTAATGATTTACTCCTTACTCTGCGACTCTAGAGCAGACGCCCTAATCACTGTGCCACGCGGACGACTCATCAAAACACAAAAGTCGCCATGATGTAGAGGCTAGTATACTAATTGACTGCAATTTCTTCACAAGTCTCCCATACTCCTGTTATTACCACCTCAACATAAATACATGCAATGAGTTTAATCGGGCCACACTTCCAGCAAGAATCATCAGAGTTCATTTTTCCATTTAGTATTACAAACTATGAAGGCAAGGAAACAGGTGAATGGGTGAGATATTGTCGCTATGTGTACAGAAGTTCGACAAAGCTAAGAGTGTTCCAATTATTGACTTGTAACCGGCGCCGAGTCCCACTAAGCATAAAGGGGTATTTTTCGTGTCAACTCGTAACTTAAGAGCCGGCTCTAAATCATTGAGTCACATGGGTAAAAGATAAAGTGTCAGAGGATAGTTTCGGATTAAGCACCGCTTCAAAAATAGAAAAAAAATAGAGAAACCTAAGGTTTGAATGCATATTATAGGTAATTTTATAGCTAGAATATTTTATGGGTGCATTTGGAGGGAATTGATGGCCTTGTATATTTTAATGAAATATGACACTTTAGTGTCACTACTACTGTTTATGGAATATGAAAAATAGACTACAAGTTGCTCAAAATAAAGTTATCAGGTTTATTCTCAATAGCCGTCAAAGGAAGAGAATTACTTTTGACGAATTTGAAAAAGTAGGCTTCTTGAATGTTAGTAATAGAGTTTCTCAACTTTGACTTAATCATGTGTTTAATATTTTTCATGAGAAATGTCCAAATTATTTATCTTAGCATTTTGTTCAAAATTCTACAAGAACAACTAGAACAACTAGGTCCAGCAAGTTGAACTTTTTTATCCCAAGAATTGTTAAGTCAGAGTCGGATACTTTCTATTATAATGGTATCAAGGAGTGGAATTCACTTCCAGATGAGATAAAATCCATCAAAAACAAAGCTGTTTTCAAAAAAGAATTAAAAAAGCACCTTTTATTTAAAATGCGCTCAATATTTGAAAATGAGTTTTTATTCTATTAGCTTCCTAAAACATATATATTGTCTTACTTATTTATGTTTTATTTTTTCCTATTTATATCATAGTATTTAGTGCTAAATAGGTTTATTACTATTACAATTTATGTAGACCCCATTGAAAATAAGCACATTATTGCTTTCATGGGTCATCCTCGGGTAAATGGCTATACTTAGTACAAAAATTATATAGTTACCCGCCATTCTCTTTTAGATATACTGAATTAAATGTTTTTTCTTAAGTACTTGTTTTTTATGAAATAATGCCAGTGTTTTATTACAATTGTATTTTTTACGAAATCTTATGATTTCTTTGGATTCCATGTGCCAATTATGTTCTAATGTTTCTATCTTATGTTTCATACATGACTTGTGCCATTTCCTGAACAAGAAACATATTGACGCAAGCGTCAAAAATCGGCCGCAAACAAATTAATTAATTCTTTAATCTAATAAATTAGAAACTGAATTCTTATATTTATCTGTTGATTAATATATATCCCTGTGACATTAAACATTTGAATGCGACATCATTTTCTTCAGTACATAATACATGTACATTGCTACATGTACAATGTATTTAAGCAACTTACTAGTACTCATAGCCCTCTGCGTCCTCGCACTCAGTGAGTTTTAACACTTAACCATTAAAACTAACGTTTAAACTTATCTAACTAGAGATAGTTTAACATTAAATAAAACCTAACAACTATTTGGGGCTCCGCGCTCGCTCAGGGGATGTTGAAACCCCCAACTCCCTTTAGATCCGCCACTACATTTCTTCTCTGTTTTGTGTGAGATATGGCGGGAAAAGGCTTGGCATGTTGTAAAACGCGCTTTATCCTTGTCTGTTGGAGAAAAAACTCCTAATATTCTGTCTGATAATAAATTAAGATTAAGTCATATTTTTGAAAATTTTCCGTATTAAAAGTACATTGTATATTTATATTTACACGTCATTTAAAATTATATATACAACAAATCCTGTTGAAGTAGAGAAAGTAAAATTTGTTTAGACATGTATATAGCGCGGTCCTTGATTTAGACTATGCCCAACATGTGTGCTTATTTCTCCGCACTTCAGTTACGTCGGAGTTTGTCAATCAGGATTGGATGAAACATTTAACCCATTATTCATAAAATTTTAATTTTATGATTATTATGCGTTTTTATTTTACATTTAAACACTCTTTCTTTTATTCTCTATTGAGAAGTCGACGGCTCGTTTCAATACTCCCCCTCAACTTCTCTACGAAAGAACTCATAATGGCAGTTCAGAAATCGACTAAATGAAGAACCAAACCGGGTCTCGCTTCGATCGGTGTTTTAGTCCTGATGCATCATCATCGATATATTTCGGGTGCACAAATGTCGTTTTGCAATGGAAATGCGATTAAAAAACCCAATTTTACCGACTTAAACCACACTAATTACGCTAGAACACTTACTTGCGTTATCTGTGTCACCGGATATTTTCCATTCATTCAAATTTCGGCCGTACTCTGTTGACCTCTGTAAAAATGTCAACATGTCTAAACAATGCCGTCCTGATAAATTGGAAGAGTTATCACGCAGCGTCCAAGTTTTAAAATTAATATTGTAAAGACATTGAACCAGTAAATTTTGTTTTGTTTTGTGTGTCAGTGTGTGTGTGTGTTTGTGTGTGTGTTTTTTTTTTACTTATTTCAATGGACTTCAGTAATTACTAATATTTATATACTATTCACCCCCTTTTTTAGTTTATTGATTTTTAATTTGTTTCATACATATATTTTTAATATATATAAATCAAATATATATACATATACTTAATGTGTATATGAAATATATATTTTTTTAATAGCAGCAAAAACCAAAGCAAGCAAAATTTTCATCATTTATTACACAAATTGGTAGTGGGGGGGGGGGGGGGGGTCAAATAAACATTTATTACGTACTCTCTCACCATGCACATTATTCGACATGAATTTCCTAAAATTTTGCAGTGTTTCGCCTTATTTTGTCTAGCTCTTTTGATCGTTGCACTAATTTCTTCTGAAGCCTTTCTGGAAATAAAGCATTAACATCGAACGAAAAGTTCTGAAAAGCATGAAATGATCGGTCAGGAACAACTTTGAAGAAGTTTTCTTTGTGTAGAAGTTTAACAAAGTGAGGTAAATCACTTGAAAATTTGTCAGATTCATGTTTAGTGAAGTCTCTAAAATTGAGATCAGCAGCTTCCATGAATATTTTGTCTAACGTCTTCCCAAAAGACCCCACCATCTGGCTGTGTCGGGCTACTGTTTCCACGGTAAGATTGCCGCCAGCATCTTTCAGAGAATCTTGATTGAAATGTATATTGCTACTATAATTTTTTTTTAATGCAATTATTATACAGTAAAATGTAAAACGGCATGCACCTTTGAATTCTTTGTTTAGAAATTCGTTGACGATATCTGCCTCCATATTACGTCCAGGTCCAGCGGTAAGGTTGACAGTCCTGTTCCATATACTGTCCATCCTCAGTCTCTCAGGTAACCACCCCTCAATACTATTCATTAATAAAACGTTTTTAAAGAAAACATTATTTATAAACAATTTACTTGAAAGTGGTAAGAATGTTGGTTCCCAAGATACCTGCGAGCAATCGATGTGCTAAAACTACATATTTTGGATGGTGCCTATTATGGAATTGCACTAAATCCATTCTCCAATGTCCCATCATGGCCTCACCATCGTTCTCTCGTACTGCATCATGTCTGACCAAATCCATTAGTCCCATGTACGTTAGCGCTTTCACATACATATTATGCAAATCTGGTTTATCTACAACTTCGTCTGTTTTCGCTATGTCTTTACAACGACTGCAATACCACTCACCGCCTGGCAGAAAATATTAGTGTATACACCGTTTAAGTCAACTTAAAAATAAATGAAATAACAGTATTAGCATTTCTTTATTTATAGTATTAATACGATCCAAAAGTTTTAACCCCTTACTTGGTGCTGACGCCAACCCTATGCACTTCATATGAAACCACTCAACGGGGCACCCGGGATTATCACAAGCAATCATTGGTTCCCTTCGCCCTAAATCTACACCACAACAGAACTTATATGACCGTCTGCATTCCTCAGAGCACGCAAAGTCATCGGGTATATCAACGTCTCCCTGTCCTCCCGTAATGCAGTCTACATGAAACCAATTTTTGCCAGGGCAATGCATCCCTGTGCACTCAACCATTGGTGCATCATCGCCAAGATCTTGAATTATATATTTGAATCAAACATTACAATAACACAAAATAGACAAAAACTATTAATATTCATTTTTCTTTGTTTTAAATGTTTTACCTTCTTTACAAAAGCAGAAGTTATAGTCCCTGACTTCTCCACCAGCATTCAGGATTTTGGTCACGTCCATTTCAAACCATACTAACTCTACTACTTTCTCGGCGACATTCGTTAAATACCTTTATTTATAATTAAAGTAAAGTATAACCACAATGTATAAATAATTTAAAATCAATGAAGACCAATATGAAGTATTTATTACCTTTGTCTATCATAGATTTCGCCGATGTCTATCGGACTATCAGAGAGGGATTCCATGCCGAGAACTTCCATTGCCGCTAACATCGTATATCCATAAGTTACGAATTTTAGAAAAGTCGATATGTGATTGAATGCATCACCAACCTGTTTCTTCACTGCCCGGTGCCCAAATACATTTTTCAAGTAGAACAATGTTCCTTTATCTGCTGCACTTTTGCCACTAAAGAAGATGTCCATAATATCCTACAAATTATAATGCAGCACATTCACACACAAGCAAAAATTATACTGCTTGTTCATTATTTACTTATGTTCAAGTGATATTGTACCTGAGTTAGAAGCATCCTCTTGTGAAGCTCCTGAACCACAGGTTGTAGACCTTGTAATCCAGCTAAAGGTGTTCCAGCATTAGAGCGGGCCAGGTGAGCATCGTTATGGCGTTCACAAGATAACCCATCACCATAACATATCAATGGGAAAATGCGATGTCCATGTGTCGGAACGTATTCCTGCAGCTTTTCTAATATTCTTATTGTCCCTTCTATTGTTGATGGATTTTCCTGACAGACGCCCAAGTTGATCTGTACAAGAAAAATAATTTTTTTTTTCCTTATGTACATGTGTAAACATAAATATACATGTATATTTATAAATGAATTCACATACACAGTGACACACACACTCACTCACACCCTTACATATAATCTACAATATTTTTCACCCACCACATTGCTTTTTTTTGAAGATTCTCTCCAAAACTTGTGTCGAATATGCTTAGGCACACAGTCCATAAAATGTTCCTTGAAAAATGGAATTTCCTGAACTATGATCCTGGCAACAATGACGGTCATTCTTTGTCGGACTTCTTTGAAATCTGCTTGTCTAGGAAGAAACTTTTCTAATGGGATATCTATAGCCCTGGTAACAATTTGATCATTCATGTGACAGGTTGCAATACGATTTTCCACGCAATACGACAATGCCCATAGCAACATTTTGTTCTGCCGTTCACTGCTCTGACGTGACACGCGTACCATCTTCCCCACGTTGTCCCATACAAGACAGTACCCTTTTGATTGTAGTTCTACGAGAAATAATAAAATAATTAAAAATATTTATAGATTATAAAGTTATAATAGGAATATGCAAATGATATAGAAATTAATTACCCTTTCCTATGTATCTTTCAGAAGATGCGCTTTCCCCATCTATATTCGCCATCGGTAAATAGCTATCCGATTCCGATTCCGAAGATGAGATTGTTTGATCTATTTCTTCCGAATCTTCACTTCTTTCTTCCTCTGTTCTGTCTCCGGAATCGGAATCGGAGTCTGTTTCTGTCGCCAACGGCTCGTAGAATCCAAGCGACATATGTTCCTACAAACAAGTACATACTTAACTCAAATAAATATTTATTACAGACTTTCTCTCCGCAGTATTTTATAAACGAAATTTACAAACCTCAATATTTTTCTTCATGTCCCAAGCCTTCTCGTCTACATTCACACGAATTTTGGACAGAATATTGAGTGTGGTGTCATAACTGACACAAAATCCCATTCTGTTTAGATGAGGAAATATCTGTTTTTTATATTTAAAAAAATATTATTAAGAGAAGAATGAATACCGTTTTTTGTAAACTGTAGTCAGCAGATGGTCTGTTAAAATTACTAATTACACATAGTACCTTTCTTTGCGCGCCGCATCTCCACAGCTCAACCCCATGGAGTCCCTGGACTAAATTCATTTTTGGTGAGCGCATGTGAAGTAGAATACTTGCAACAAGACCAATGGCTGGAATCAAAGATTGTCCCCTAGACCTATTGAAAATCCAATGAAAAATTATCACAAATATTATCTGTACACTTTACTTCAAGGTTAATATATAACATAATGGCCAGAAAATTTTATGATTACCCTGCTAAACTGCGTTCATTCTTTTTAGTGGTTATGGCTGCCGTGATGGCCGTTGATAATATTGGAACAAACTGTTCCAAAGCTTCAGTAAAATATGGCCACTTGAAATCCTTCAGGTTTTCGTAAGTACATTTATTGTGTACTTTGTTCTCCTTGTCCCGAAGTAACATCTGAATGCCTTTTCTTATTTCCCGTTTTACTAAAACGAGAATCGCACGTCTGGCTCCAGCATAGTGTCGATATAGATGAGAGAAGGCTTTCTGATATTTGTAATTTTCAATACATCTTGCTGCATAAGCAGCATTTTTTTTAGCCTGTATGAATACAAATAAAATGTCAGTATGTTCTTGCATTCTAAAGAAATAGGGGAACTTCTCTATCCTCAGAGCATGTGATTGAAGTTTCAAATAATCACGTTATTGAAAAGTATACGTTATATAAGTTCTCTTAATGTCATTTTATTGCCCTTGTATTTGACAAAAGCTATTTCGATCACACCCATTGAATCCGCCAACCTATGCTCTGTAACTGATCTTCAATCCCCCATAACAATATATCACTTGTCAAATTAACTGGTGAAATTGCAAACTCCCATGTTGATCTGCTAAGAAATATGATACCTTGATCGGAAATAATTTGCTGCATGCAGGGGGGTCGGTGGGATTTGCAGATTTATTAAATTCATAAACAAGGTAGAAATTGACCATGGACCCCATAAAAAACACAGACACCCCCCCCTCACCCGAAAACGCGGATCTGTGTTAAACTGTTAATTTCGTATGAAAAGTTATTAGAAGTTAACGACTAACCCCCTCCCCTCCCCTCGCATAAAATAGGTTTTTCACGCTTGTGCGAGTTTTATTTTCTTGTGAACAAATTTCTGGATTGATTATTTTGGACTGGAAAAAATTCCTGGATCCACACCGCTATTATTGAGAAGTTGATGCTGCCACTAGATTAATTATAATTCTCTTTTAACCTTTTCAAAATATATATGGTTACCTTTTGTTCAATGTGTGGAACTTCTTTGAGTTTCTTTGGTGTGGTTCCCGATGGTCGGAAAAGCTTGATTTTTCTGGGAGTCTTCAGAGGAGTACTCAGCAATCTCTTCCCTTCCATTCTTCATCAGGAAAACCGGAAGTTATTAATTAAAACTAAGTGTTAAAGAGGGAACTACCCAAATATGGATGAGGAGGATGTAATTGCAGTATTCAATTCCATAAAGAACATTTTCAGTTTTGATTTCAGCTTAAAGAAAGAACAAATACGTGTTATTGAAAGTGTTTTAAACGAACAAAACACCTTTGCCCTACTACCGACAGGGTATGGCAAGTCCATGTGTTTCATTTTACCTCCGCTTTTGCTAGATGAGGTAAGTTGCTGTTCTTTAAAAAAAAAGTTCATATTAATATTAGCATTCCTTTTTTTTTATTAATTTAAATCTGCTTGTAAAATATTTATTTATTTTCTTCGTTTTCGTAGTTGGACTGGACGTTGAAGCACATTGCTATCGTCATTTCTCCTCTTAAATCATTAATGATGGATCAAGTGAAAGAACTGAAGAATTTCAACATCACATCAATAGCTTTTGAGCCTGGAAGTCCTATGGAAACCATCCAAGGCAAGCTTCTAAATTATTTACCACATGTTTTATAGCATTAAAAAAGCCAAGGGTTGTTAAATTTATTTTATGTATATTTTTTAAACAGATATAAAAATGGGAAAATACTCCATCGTATTTATTTCCCCTGAATCGGCCAACTCACCCTTTTGGAGAAGTTTGCTTCTGTGTGATGATTTGAGATCCAAGATTTGCCTTCTTGCATGTGACGAGGCACACTGCATTTCGGAATGGTAACGAGAAAACTGCTCTTTGAATATATATAGATATATACAAACAAATGTTTATTTTCTTTTCAATTTCTTTCTAATACATGTACATATATATACTTTTTCCTCAGGGGTGAGGATTTTAGACCTGCTTACAAGGAAGTGCTGAATTTGAGAAGTATAATCGATGCCCCCGTTTTGGCTGTAACTGGTACATGCAATGAGAAAGTTAAAAATGATGTTTTTAAGAGTCTTGCTTTCACCGATGATGTCAGAATTATTGCTGTTGCGCCTGACAGGCAAGTAGTGTGTAAATTTTCAAATAAATTTTTCGTATATACTTTGTAGAAGGATAAAACTATAAATGCATAAAGTATAATTGTCGGACCCCCCCCCCCCCCCCTCCGGATCAGCGATTATGTTTTCCTAAGAAGAAGAAAAAAATGCAATAATCTCCTTCATAATACTGATTTGCCCGCTGGGAAACAGTCTTCCAACTGTCCCTCCCATTTAGCGATTGGCAATTCATACCCCCCCCCTTCTTCCAATATTTCCTTTCGACCCGCCAATATAAATGTAACAACAGTACATTGTATACTGATTACATCATTTAAACATTCTAGGCCCAACATATGCCTATGCCTACAAAGATCAAAGCAAAAGCAAAAACATGAATCGGATCTCAAATGGCTTCTTGAATACCATATGCTAGAAAAACATGATGTTAAGAAAATAATTGTATACTGCAGGTATGTTTTTTTTCTCTCTCTGTCTCTCAGTCTTCAGCGTATTTTCAATTATGTTCACAATTAAAAAAAAGTTTCATTATATTATATGTTTATTTATTTATCTAGATCAGTCAGTGCTACAGCTCTCCTTTAGCTTCATTTCAAGGATAATCTACGAGAGCATGGATTACCAGATGGTATAGTTGAGACGTTTCATTTCCATAGATGAGGATGGCAAAATTCGCATTTTACAAACCTTCAAAAAACCCGACAGTCGTATTAGATGTCTTTTTGCCACCCTTGCATTTGGCATGGGCATTCAAACATGCCATTCAAATAAACGATGTTAGAGTGATTATTCACTGGAGTGTGTCTAAATCATGTCTTTCATACTGGAAAAAATTAGGCAGGGCTGGTAGGAACAGGGACCAAGCTCTTGCGATATGTTATGCTTACGGGAGATCGCTGAATAAGCAAACGACTGATGAAAACATGATAAAGACAATACAAGAAGCATTCGAACAAAAAAAATGCATTAGACAAAGTCTTCTGTCGTGCATGTCTATAGGGAATGATTTATTTGTTTTGAAGAAAGACAAGTGTGACGGTTGTACAGGTACCTGTAAATGTTCACTGTGTATGTGTTGCAATATTTGTAGAGACAGTTGCCCATGCGAGGACAAAACGTGGGGAAATTTTATGGGTATTGATAAATTATAAAGACTGATTCTATGTATATATATATTTGTTCATTTTCATATTTTCATCATAGCAGGGTGGCCACGTATATAAAAATGAAAAGGGGTCTATTAACGACTCACCCCATTCAATGGACATTTACCTGGGGTTTAATTTTACTCACCCCCCCCCCTTTTTAAAAAAAATGGTTTGATTACATTATCTGCTGATGTCCGGCACAGTAATATTACAATCAGTGACAATTACTATTATTATTTAAATCATTGCTGTTATGGCATATTATGACAGTTACTTAAACAGGGACCTATATACTCGGTATATAAGTTCCTACTTAAAATACTTAAAAAAAAAAAATATCGAATTACCATCAACAAACCAACAAAAAAGTATAAAAATTATGCTTAAATTAATACAATTTTTAATGTTATGAAACTCCATCATTTTTTCATACCAATATCAATGTCATTTTGTACAATATTAAAACTTGGACGCTGCGTGATAACTCTTCCAATTTATCAGGACGGCATCGTTTAGACATGTTGACATTTCTACAGAGGTCAACAGAGTACGGTCGAAATTTGAATGAATGGAAAATATCCGGTGACACAGATAACGCAAGTAAGTGTTCTAGCGTAATTAGTGTGGTTTAAGTCGGTAAAATTGGGTTTTTTAATCGCATTTCCATTGCAAAACGACATTTGTGCACCCGAAATATATCGATGATGATGCATCAGGACTAAAACACCGATCGAAGCGAGACCCGGTTTGGTTCTTCATTTAGTCGATTTCTGAACTGCCATTATGAGTTCTTTCGTAGAGAAGTTGAGGGGGAGTATTGAAACGAGCCGTCGACTTCTCAATAGAGAATATCTTTCTTTATATTCTATTACATGAATGTTAAATATTTTTTATTCAAATTGTTCTAACTCTGCAGAAACGCACGGCGACTTAAAACTTTCATATCATATAACCGACCGCCTCCTGGCGGCCGGTAATAAACAAACAAATATGAACTAGAAATACGATACTAAGATCTAAAATCACTCTTCCGGTATTTCACCAGAAAAGCGGGGTGGGTTCATAGGATGAATTGTAGCTTGAAAACGAGGTGGTTGAGCCATTATCTCTTGCTGTTCAGTGATATGTACAAATGATAATCTGCAAATTGTGTGGTAGACCCTGGAAGCAGTTGCGGCGAAATAGTGAAAAAGGCTTGATTTACATGAAATTTTGAGATTGTCCTTATGCCATCATTAGCAAATCCAGCACAATACCCCGTATATATATATATCTTTATCAAGGTATTACAAATACCTTGATCAAGGTATTTTATATAATGAAAATTCATATAATTTCTTAAAAAATAAAATACTGAAAGTTGAGTTCTGAGTTGTTGTCAGTGTGTCCACTAGTGCATGAAAAACACTCGGGTATAAAAATACAGCATAAAAGAACGTCTCCTCATTCGACATGCTTTTATACTGTTTTCTTTGTGTTAGAGTACTTTTACATGCATGGGTGAATTTACTGACAACTCAGAACTTGACTTTCAATCAAATACTTAGATTGGAAAAAAAAAAAATATTTGCCACCTGAGGAACAGTACAGTTATTTACATTGCGCAGTTTTCTTATTCACCTTCATATTGATTCTACATCTGGCAAAAAAATCTTGTCCAAAACCCTCAGCAGACATTGTTATAAAGTAATTTATATCAAGCTTAACTTGTTACCAGATAGTCGCTCATAGCCTTAAGTTAAAATTTCTCGTTCGTTCATTTCGACTCTTTTCAGTACAACCCATCACGCGAGGAAGCGATAGTGTTAAGCCAACTCGTACAAATGTTATTCGAATGAGAACAAGGAAGAGAAGTCTTCAATACGGAAGACGACCCGTTGGGACAAGGAAATCTGAAAGTGTGGCGTATTGTAATACGACAGTCTTTTTCATATTTATGCTAGGTTTATTAATATTAAATGCATTAGAATAACAAACTTTCAGTCAGCGGATAAACGTGTACGTTTAAATGAAATTTCGTCGCGGTGTCTGCCCACTAGTGCAAAGGATCAATAATTCGACGGTCCACAATTGCGAGGGTTCACAAATCTGATTGAGAACATGGAACATAACCTATATTGATCATTATGGAATATAATAATTACAGGTAGAGTTTGTCCAGTTATATATTTTATAGACATGTAATCGTCATTTTTAGTTGAGGCACCAAGAAACCCTCCCATCCAGTTTCCATGGCGATAGAGTCAATAAAAGTGTTGGTGTGTTAAAGGGGGAGGGGATGCCAGTTTTTTTCAGTACCATTTTTTGCATACACTATTACATCATCCTTCCATCTATACTGAAGGAAAAAGTGGGGGCCAACACGTTAAATTTATTTTCCGCCATTTTGAAGCCATAATTTTTAAGTCCGCGGGCAAAAGTCTTTTCATGTCACTTTTTTTTACAGAGATGCACAAAAAAACCGATAGAGATTCTCCAGCACTCCACTCCTATTATCCTCAATGAATATGAAAGGCCACAGTTCACAACGGTTAAATAATTAACATATTTTGTAACTTGTTTAATTTTTCCCCACCATACTCCTCGGAATTTCGAGCCATCAGCTCTTCTGAATATTCTATTACCTTAAGCTTATTTGGTCGTTTTGATGGCGTTACAAATATTTACTTTACGTTTTGTTCACTGTTTTGACACATACTTAAGGTACACATTGTAAA